CATTGGTTGATTCTTATATGTGCCTTAACCAGGGATCAAACCCTCAACCTTGGTTTATTGGGGTAACACTCTAACCAACTGAGCTACCCGGCCAGGGCCTAAACAAAAAGTTTTTTAGGTCACAAAAGTAACACTTGCTCATTACCAAAAACTCAGAACTTTAAATGTCTTTGTGAGTATGTATTGATTATCTTCATAAGCTTACGGATTTTTCTAATTTTTGTTCTGAAGTTCCATCAGAATCAATGTCTATTATGTGAGATTTTCTTTTTTAAAAATGTATTTTTTTGCTCTAACCGGTTTGGCTCAGCGGATAGAGCTTCGGCCTGCGGACTCAAGGGTCCCAGGTTCGATTCCAGTCAAGAGCATGTACCTTGGTTGCGGGCACATTCCCAGTAGAGGGCGTGCAAGAGGCAGCTGATCGATGTTTCTAACTCTATCCCTTTCCCCTCCTCTCTGTAAAAAATCAATAAAATATATTTAAAAATGTATTTTTATTGATTTCAGAGAGGAAGAGAGGGAGAGAGAGATAGAAACATCAATGATGAGAGAGAATCATTGACCCACGGCGTCCTGCACACCCCCTATTGGGGATCAAGCCCTATACCTGGGCATGTGCCCTTGCCTGGAATCAAATCTGGGACCCTTCAGTCTGCAGGCCAATGCTCTATCCACTGAGCCAAACCAGGGCCTAACCAGGAATTGAACCAGCAACCTCTGGGTGCATGGATCCACGCTCAACCACCGAGCCACAGCAAATGTCATTCCCTCTGTTTTTTTAATCCTCATCCAAGGATATTTTTCCATTGATTTTTAGAGAGAGTCGGAGAGGGAAAGACAGAAATATCGACGTGAGAGACACACATTGATTGGTTGCCTCCTGCACAAACCCTGACCAGGGCCTAGGCCGGGTAGGAAACTGCAACCGAGGTATATGCCCTTGACTGGAATCGAACCCGGGACCCTTTGGTCCGCAGGCGGACGTTCTATCCACTGAGCCAAACCAGCTAGGGCCCAACTGTCATTCTCGAAGGAGCTGTTCTAACAGTTGCCCCCCAGCTTCTTCCACCCTTTGTCTGTGTTGACTCAGCATAGAGTTTCTAGAAGCTTCCTTTGGAAGAATCATATTTAATTTATCTTTGGTAACTAGGCAATATTCCAGGCTTTGTAGGCCATGCCTCTCTGTTACCACCACTCAGGCCTGCCATTGCAGTGTGGGAGCAGCCACAGGTAACACCAGCTTTATTATGGACACAGATTGTAGTTTCATACCATTTTCACATGGCATGAAATATTATGACATTCCTTGTAGCTTTCATATTTCCATTTACACCTGTAAAAGTGGACCATTTCCCTGAGTGTCTCAGGAATGTTAGTGGTGGCCATCATGCCCTAACACAGACCTGAGGCTCGAGTGGACAGCCATTGTCCCACAGCAGCCTGTGGTTTCTTCTGCCCCTGACACTGCCCTGCAGTGTCATCATGCTAGAAAAGCCCAGTTTGTGCAGATGATTGGCCAGCCAGCTGACGGCAGCACCAGCTATAAACGTTCAATCGAGGCCATTTTTTAGAGGCATTTCTTCTTCTGGAGTAATACTTTCTAGATGAATCTGGCAGGACTGAAGGTACAGCTCAGCCTCCTCTGGAAAGCACTTTGGACTTCTTGTCTGTTCTGTGACTGCTGCCTAGCAAAGAAAGGTCGTTGGGATTGTCGTTGTGGGTAGGTGCTTGTATTTTTAGACACGTTAGGCCGAGAGTCCTGACCTTCACTTGATATCTCTAGCAGTGCCACGCGGGGTGTTATGCTGCTTTGTACACTTTGTGCCGTGCCAGTGGGTGTGCTGTGATGGCAGTGACGTCCACAGGAGGCGGTGGAATTCGACCTGTTTACTCCTGTGTGTGCCCCTGGCCAGGCTCCATCCCAGTCGCCCTAACTCAGAACCAGCAGAGATGCAGGTGAGCGGTCCAAGGTGCAGGGAGCCTTCTCCAGTGCCAGGCCCTTCACTGGTTATGCAACCTGGAGAAAACTGTGCAGTCTCTGAACCCTAGGCGCATACCTGTGAAATGGTGAGTCAGGACCAGCTCTGCTGGGTTGCTGGGGAGAGGGATGAAAATGCCTGGAAGTAGAATGGTACATGGCAGGCTGTTGGAGGATAGCCGCCTTCTCCTGAGCCCCAGAACGTGAGCTGCACTAAATGGGACAGAATGACTAACATTTTAGCTGACACTTGGGATGTGCTGGGCATAGCTCATTTACCTGGATCCTCACCGCAGCCCAGTGAAGTAGGGTGCACTGATCCCCAGGTGAAGGAACTGAGGCACAGAGAGGTACATCAGTTGTTCAGGGAATGCTATTAGTGAAGGGAGGAGCCGGAATTTGAAGGGAGGCAGCCTAACGAGTCATGTGTTTGGATGTTTTGCCTCTGAAACGCAGCCCAAGCATGTCAAACTCAAAGGCTAACACGGGCCAAATAAACGAGGCATGCGGCCCATGGGCCACGAGTTTGACATGCTTGCTGCAGCCTGATCTTACTGAGAAAAGCTGACGCTCAAGCCACCGGGCTTTCGCCCATAGCGTGCTCCATTGCTGAGGACTCCAGGCAGGCCTGCCCATCGCTCACCAGGGTGCAGTAGCAGACATTTGAAGACTGACCACTGACTAAAATACTGTATCTGACCCTTCCCAGAAAAGTCTCTTCCTAGGTTGGCCCTTAGAATCCAGTCTCGAGGAGCCAGCCAGGAATGAATGTCTTACAGCCTCGCACTCAGTCGTAAAATAAAGCCTGGCTGGGTAAGCAAGGTGGACAGTCCCTGCCCTCGTGGAGCTTACAGTCCAATGAGCCATGGACAGGAATTGTAGTTCACCTATGAAGAGTGATTTAAGAGAAGCAGGCCAGGTGTAAGAGGGGACACGTGGGCTTGGTCCTTATAGCTGTGCAGGCAGGGGGACTAGGAATCTGTTGATTTCTGCAATCAGCTTTAAGAAAAGGAACCACATATCCAGTATCCAGGCTGTTCTCACTCATTGGTGTTGAAGGTGGCCGCATTTTCTCAGGAACCACTCTAAGTGCCCTTGCTGCGGTGGTTCAGCACGCGGCCACTAGATGGCAGCGCAGGACTGCTCGGCGGCGCCTTCCTGTGACGTCTGTCGTTTACAGTTTGTGTGAACTTGACCGGCCGAGGTTTCCTTGGGGCCGAGGTTGGGCAGCTCCGCAGCTTCCCAGGTGTGTACCCAGATAACCTTGACTTTTGTTGAATTTTTGGTTTTTTAACTCGCGGCTTTGCCAAGTCCCGGTGTCAAGAGGCTAAGCTCCAACTTAAGGGTGAGCAATGATTCACGGACTGAATGGTTTGGGCAGGCTCGAGAATAGCAATGTCTGGGCAACTGCAGAACATCGTGTGGACAGATGTCCCTCCGCTGCGAGTTCTAGGTGCGGCCAGGGCCCCTGGAGGGAGCCCAGTCGGTTTGGGTGTCAGCTGACGGGGTTCTTTCTCATCCGGCACGCTAATCGCCAAACCCTGGTCGCTTCCAAACTCTGGTGGCCGGCACTCGGACCTGGTGTTGGGGTCTGCTTTTGCGCCAGACATAGTGATTGGCAATACGGAGAGTAACGTGTATTCTAAATCATCTCTGGCAAGTCTTTAAAGACTATTATAAGGGTAAGGAGAGTTCGCTTTCTATTCCTATAAAGTGAAGTAGCAGTGAGTTAATAATGCATCCAGTTCTCAATGTATAGGGAAATGTGCTTATGGAATTAGGCAGTGGCAAGGGATGGGAGTGGTGTTGCTACATGAACAGCTCTGCATAAGCAATAAAGCTATCCTGACCTGTTGCCTGTATAAATTATATAATGTATATCATAGAGAATGATGGCTGATACTTTTTCTCCTGAAGTGGCTCAAGGCGGGGGGCGGGGGGAGGAGGATTTGGGGCAAAAAAAACCCACAAAAAAACAGATAACTTATGAGGTCTAATAGAAAATACCCACATCCAAACATACACAAAATTGGAACTAGAAGCTAGTATGAGTGCCAGATTTCAGCAGAAGTTTTATCAAGATTTTGTATTTTTCAGTATCTTAATTTTACCACTCGAATTATTTGTACTATCTCACCTCAGGCTTTTGATGGTGAGCTATTCTGAATCTTTTTTGAAGCCCCGAATAGCAACCCCTATTAAGGCATAAAAACTTCAGTAGAATGGCTTGAAATATTGTAATTGGACATGTGTTTATGTGTGAAACAATTTTTTTTAATGGTTGATACTCCTAAAAAGAAAAAAGTTAATGTTATCTTTAAGAACAGGTGAGAGACAATCAGTTGTCACCAGCATCATTCTTAGGATCGCAGAGGGGGAGAAAGGTCCCCCATAACCTTCAGCTTTCTTTTCAAGTTTAAGTAAATGGCCTTACTACATTGCAGTTCCTAAGTGGGCCTAAGTCCTGGTGTGCTGTGTTAAAAGTGTAAAAATAGTATGTGAAGTCTTTATAGTGTTCACTTTAGTTATTCATTTTCTAGCTTGGGAATTAATTCATTTGTCAAAGTCTGCATTCCCTCTTAAAGGTCCCTGCACCTCCTGGTTTATATCAGAAATGCATTTGAGATCCACCCATGTTGCATGGAAGAATCCTGCAAGTTAACAGCTTGTTTCTTTTTATCACTGCATACTATTGCATTGTATGGGTGTGCCACGGTCGTTTATCTATTTGCACAGTGAAGGGCATCTTGGTTGCTTCAAATTTTGGCAATTATGAACAAAACTGCTTATAAACATCTGCGTGAACCTAATTTTTCAGTTCACTTATGTAAATATTTAGGCGCATGAGTTCTAGGCCATATATTAAATCGATGCTTAGATTAGTAAAAAACTGCCAAGTTGTCTTCCAGCGTGGCGGTGCATGGGAAGCAGTGCACAGGAGTTTGTGGAGGATTGGTATTATTTATTTAAATGTTTGATAGACTGGCCAGTGAAGCCACCACAGCCTGGGCTTTTCTTTGTGGGAAGATTTGAACTTAATTCCATATCCTTGCTGCCCTAGTTGAACTAGTGCCACAGAGCAGAGGGGGAGGGGGCGGAATGCCTCAGAGGAGCGCTGTTCTGACCTGAAGCTCCTGGCCTTGAGGAATAAGCTTCCCAGTTTGTTGCATGCCTGTGGTCCATACCCAGGGCATGGAAGCAGCTGGTTTTGACAGCTCTGTCCAGGTTTATGGTTGCCTTTAGGGGAGAGGATTTGTCAGCATCCTTAGGACATCCTGCCAGAGTCCTGCTTTGTGGACTCCCACATCACCCGTCAGCCAACGAACAAGGGTAGAATAATATCCCAGAATGCTCTTGCCTCCATCTCCAGCCACATCTCTCCCCTTTGGGGGCAAATTTTCCTTAAAATACTTCTGTCTGTGCTATTTCCTCATCTCCCCACAACTCCACCAAATCCCAGAAGTTGGCTGTTGTTAAGTCACTGGCGTTTTCCATGTTGCCAAATCCAGGTCTGTTCTCAGTCTTTGCTTTCTTTGCACCGTCCAGTAGCGCCTGACACAGGAGATGACCAACTCATGGATGAGACCCTTTTTTGTCTCCAGGAAGATCAGACTTGCCTTGCTCTTCTCCTCCTCCTCTGGCCAGGCCGTTTTTGCAGACTTCTACCCCATCTTCCCCAGCCTGCCCCAGAGCTCAATCCTCTGACCCGTTTTTTCTCTAAACTCACTTTAGTGTCCTGTCCACTCACATCTCCCAGATGTTTGTTTCCAGTTTGCACGTCTCTCCGGAACATGTCATATCTAATTGCCAAACTTGTTTTTCGCAAACTCACCGCATCCTCCCAACAGGTGCTATTGGCGACTCTGTCCCTCTAGTTGTCCGGCAGCAGCTTTGGAGGCCTTTTGACGACTCCTCTCATGGACCACGTCCAGGTCACCAATGGAAGTCGCTATTGCCAGTTGAGATTTACTCAGAACCCCACCACTTTGACTATTACCACTAGTCCAAGCTACCAGTGTCTCTTGCGTGGATTATAACTGTCCTCTGAGAGGCTTCCTATGTCTGCCCTTGTTTCCTGACGCTGTAGTGTATTTTCAACATGTGGACCAGTGAGGCTTTTCATGTAAATCAGATCCTCTCTCCTGCCTAGAATTCTCCACGGTTTCCCATCTCAGAGAAAGTCCTTAGGATGGCCGATAAGGCCCTTCATCTGCTCCCCTGTCCTCACTGACCTCATCTTCTAGTCACTCTACGTCACTGCAGTCGCCTTGCCAAGCATGCTCCTTTCTCGGGGCTTTTGCATTTGCTAATCCGCTGCCCAAAGTGCTCTTATGCTGGATCTACGTAGGACTTACTGATGTCCTCACCACCTCGAGTCTCGGCTCACATTTCACCTTTCAGGGAGGCCTCACCGAGCATCCTGTGTGAGTTAGCAGCTCCCCGCTCACTAACATTCCGTTTGCCCTTTCTCTGTTTTTCTCCATAGCACTTCTACCGTATGACAAACGGTCATCTCGTCTTCCCCCACTACAACATAAGCTCCACGAGGACAGAACGTTTAGCATGGCTACTGATATGTCTCCAGTGGGCTAGTGTCTGGTGTCCAGTGTGTGTGTGTGTGTGTGTAACAACCTGTAAAACCCTTCTTAGCTGAGGACTGCACAGAAATACTCTGGCTGTAGTTTGCCAGCCCCTGCTCTAGTAGTTCCCTCAAGAAGGTCTCCTAGAGTCAGTATTGGTTTTGCTGGATAGAAAATTCTTGAGTCACATATAGATTAGCCATATATTAATTTTCTTATAAGTTACTTGCTGGTTTTGCCTATATGCCCAAGGGACTTTTCTCTTTTTCTTTACAGTCCAGTTGGTGTTGGTTACTCTGGGTTAATATCCTCAGGTATGTGGCATGTTATTTCAATATGTAGTTTCAAGTATTGCTTTTTTCTGGCGTGTTTTTTTTTTTCTCAGAGTGACAAAAACCAAGCTTTATGCATTGATGATTGAAAAAGTCCATGATACATTTTTAACCTGACTTTTTCTTATTCATTTTTCCAGTTTTATTGAGGTATAATTAATAAATAAAAATTACATATATTTAAGGTGTACCATGTGATGTTTTGCTATGTGTATACATTGTGAAATGAATACCTCAATCATGCTAATTAACATCTGTCCTCTCACATCGTTTTGTGTGTGTGTGGTGAGCACTTAAGATTTACTGTTCAAGACTTCTAGCAAATGAAACAGTTTTATTAACTATAGTCACCATATTATATATTAGAACTCCACAACTTAATTCATCCTGCATGTTTGAAACTGATTTGTAGTTCTTAGTGTTTTGTTTCATTTCATGCATTGGATTTCTTGCTACTGCAACTCCTGTTATTCATGTGTGTTTTGGATCTTTTTTGCCTAAAATAAGCACATATTTGCCACTATCTCTCCGATGCTTTATCTCCTCATTTCTGGGTTTTCCCATTCTGATTTAGGCCAGTTACCATTTTCTTAATGACCTTCAACTCATTTTGCAATAGGATACCATTTTGATCTGCTTTCTGGGTACATCTTTCTGGCAAGCTTTCATTGTCTGGACAGATGTTATGCTGTACCATATTCTTTTTATCTGAGGTTTTTTCTAAGTTTCTAGAAGGAAGTGTAATTCAGGGCAGTTTTTCTGGCTTCATATAACTCCGCAGACCATGAACTCCTCCTATTGGGCACTTATCCTCTTTTTCACATACTTGCTTTTATCAGTTAACCACCCCAAAACTCAGCTTGCAAAGATATGATGCCATCAAAATGATGTAGAACCATTCTGTTGTAACTGAGCTACATTGAGCTGGTAGTTCCTCTGACAGATGTCAGGTATTGCTGTTTGCTTCACATTTAAAGCACTCCACTGTGCCCTGTGAGTTTGCTGTGGCCCGTGTGACACTTTGACCACATTTAGTAGGACTCTTAACTGCTTTAAAAAACGTGGAGGTACAGAAGAAAGATTTTCAGAGTTTTTCTGCCAGCCAAGAAGAAAAGTTCTTCCTTTGGACCCAGGTACTCAGGCAAGCAGATTGATTAAAAAGAACATTTTCAAATCCGTTTGAAAACAGGTGTGTATGTGCCCATCTGTGCATGTGCACGTGTGTGAGAAAGAAGTCTTGCTTGCTGATGCATGTACACTTAAATGTATGCTGGGAAAACTAGGGTGTTTCTTTGCTTTAATATAGTTTTATGGGGGGGGGAATTACTTTTGAGTTGATGAAAAGGAATGAGAGAGCATGCTTTATTGACCTTGATATTTAAAAGACATTTGGTGCTAAGTATTTGAATTTGCTTTTGTGATCTGTCACCGTGAATTTGACTGACAGCTAGTTTCGGATACAGCCCATCAGCCTGCTAAACAATGTATTTTCATAGAGAAATTTTTGTGTCTTTCAAAAGAAGGCAAAGATATGGATGTGGTAGGAAAATCCAAATTCCTCCATTCCATCATACACAGAAATTTGGAGGTGGTTCCAAGTAAAACATGCCCCTAATTTATACCATAGTGAACAGAAAGAACGGTTGACTTCCAAAAGAGCAATCACTGCTTACAAGTGAAGCGACAGGTACAGCTTCCTTCATGCTAATTAGCTGAAGGCCATGCTCTGTTCTCCTTAGTGATTTAAAAAGGAAGCACTAGAAAATGCCCAACAGGCAGTGTGCCACCTGCACACCTCCTCACCCTTTCTCCCTCCAGGATCCCAGGCAACGTGGGCAACTGTCTCTTGCCCCTTTCCCTCCTCCAATCCCTTTTCTGATTTCTTGTTGTTGTTTTTTAATAAATACGGCTATTGATAATAGATTATCCACTGTATTGCTGTGTGGTTCACAGAGCTCTGCAAAAAGCTGACATCTAAGCGAAATGAGATATGGGTTTAATCCAGCCATTTCTTTTCCTAACAGAGGGATCTGGGTAGATGACATGCTGGAGCAGCGGCCTGCTCTAATCTAGTCTCTTCTCCAGGATTAACATGAGCTTCCTAACATCTGCCTCTTTACAAAATTGGTTTTCAAGTTTTTGAAATTATGTAGAAAAAGGAATGGGGATTTTGTTTCAGCTGTGCTTTTCTAAGACTGGGCTTATAAGTTATAAAGACAAGTAGTAGGTTAGAGGAAGCCATAAAGATCAAGGTATTTTTCCCTTGTAAGAATTATCTTAGTTCTGAGAGACCAATTTTAATAGTATTTTCAATGACCTGTCCCAGTACAAAGGTAGAACCTGGGAACGCCTTTAATCTACCTGTGCCAACAGCAGCATTTCCCTACATTAAGGTCTCCTTCTAAGGACAGGAAAAGCTTCCCCTTCTAGTTGAGCTGGGTGGAAATTGAAGAAAGGCAGGAAAAGGAGCTTAGTGTGTAATTGTGCTTTTCTTTCCTCTCCTACAGCCTGTTCCATGGGAAACGGCACGAGCAGACTCTATAGTGCTCTTGCCAAGACACTGAACAGCAGCGCTGCCTCCCAGCACCCAGAATATTTGGAGTCACCTGACCCAGAACATCTGGAGCCCATTGATCCTAAAGAGCTCCTTGAGGAATGCAGGGCAGTCCTGCACAGTCGACCTCCCCGGTTCCAGAGGGACTTTGTGGATCTGAAGACAGATTGCCCCAGTAGCCACCCACCTATAAGGGTCATGCAATGGAACATCCTCGCTCAAGGTAAGCCGGTGACTGCCTATCTGCCTCTGCACTTGCCAGTGCACTGATGTCTCACGTGGAGGGAAGAGGTGTGGGCAAATGGGAGGTGTAAGATGGGGTGACAAGGGCAGCATCGGCTCCCAGAAGGGCAAGTTAGGAAAGCAAGTCTTCTGGCTTTCACTAAAATCCAGCAACTCGAGACGTATTCCTTACCTTCCAGGCCATCCAGGTACAATGAAAGTCTACTTCCCAGCACTTCAAAATCTAAAGGACCCCCCATCATTTGTCAGCCTCAAAACTTTTGTTGTCTCCACTTTCAGTCCACAGCACTAAGATAGCATTTGCAAGGGAGAAACTGAGTTTCCTGAATGGTGACATATGGAACTTGCTACAGGGAATGGGAGCTGTGTGGGTGGTGCTGAACCTGTCATTCTTATGGCCATCTTCTCATCCATTCGCATCTCGATCAACTTTCCCTAGTGTTCTCTCTCATGTAGTAGTTGAAATTTTAAGGAAAAGGAACAAGGGCTGCTTTTTTGCCCCTTCTTCCCCAAGAATAGGGCATGCTTGCTGACTTCCCAATCTTTGGTTCATTCATTTTTTTCCAGCTGTTCATTCATAAGTAGGAAAAGCTGCCTATTTAGGATCCCATTCATTCTGAGTGGTGTCTGTATCCATTCATAGTCAGTGTTGAAATTAGTATATAGAGTTAAACCTATCTATCTCATCTGACATAGTTTAGATCCCTAGAACTGCAAAGAATACTGTTTAAAGCTAAAACTTAATGCCATTTAGGCAGAGAAGAATCACCCATAGCGCCTGAAGGAGGAAGTACTGGGAGGGTCTTGAGTCATATCAAAAACCCAAGGAGACTCCCAGGCACTTAACAGTCATGATTCTGTAGTAGCTGACAACCGACTGGCTTTTTTATTTCAGCTCTCGGGGAAGGAAAAGACAACTTCGCACAGTGCCCCGTGGAAGCACTCAAGTGGGAAGAGCGGAAGTGTCTCATCCTAGAAGAAATCCTAGCCTACCAGCCTGACATCTTGTGTCTCCAAGAGGTGGACCACTATTTTGACACCTTCCAGCCACTCCTCAGCAGACTGGGCTATCGAGGCACATTTTTCCCCAAGCCCTGGTCACCTTGTCTCGACGTAGAACATAACAATGGACCAGATGGCTGTGCCTTGTTTTTCCTCCAGAACCGCTTCAAGTTAGTCCACAGTACCAATATCAGGCTGACGGCCATGGCATTGAAAACCAACCAGGTGGCCATTGTACAGACCCTAGAGTGCAAGGAGTCCAGTCAACAGCTCTGCGTCGCTGTCACCCACTTGAAAGCACGATCCGGCTGGGAGCAGTTTCGATCAGCTCAAGGCTGTGATCTTCTCCGGAACCTGCAGAACCTCACCCAAGGAGCCAAGATTCCCCTTATTGTTTGTGGGGACTTCAATGCAGAGCCAACAGAGGACGTCTACAAAAATTTCGCTTCCTCCAGCCTCAACCTGAGCAGCGCCTATAAGCTGCTGAGTCCAGATGGGCAGTCAGAACCTCCGTACACTTCCTGGAAGATCCGGACCTCGGGGGAGTTCCGGCACACCCTGGACTACATCTGGTATTCTAAACACTCTCTGAGTGTGCGGGCAGCTCTGGATTTGCTCACTGAAGAACAGATTGGAGCCAGCCGGCTCCCATCCTTCAATTATCCTTCCGACCACCTGTCTCTAGTGTGTGACTTCAGCTTTAATAAGGAACCCGATGGACTTTCATAAACACTTTGTAATCACAAGTCTTAACCAGGGATGTTTCAGGAAAACTGAAGTTAGGATACGTTGCCTGAGGAAGGATTCCCAGTTTCTCTCACTTCACTTTCCATGTTTCCAGCATGCCTCAGGGAAGGAATCCCACTAGTTAACAAACGTTTTCCATTAAACCCTTCAGCGAAAAAGGTGTTTGCACTCCAGTTTTGGCTTGTTTTTTTTTTTTTTTCCTTTCCCCTAGCATTAAATTTAGATCAATTAAGGGCATTAAATTAGTCTTGTTTTGAAGCTTTCAGTTTGATGAAGCTATATAAAAATACTTTGTCTTCCATAATTAACAAGTATGCAGGAACAATTTCCTCTAGACAGTATTTCAAGTTATTTATTTGTGGTTTTAAGTATCAACAAGATATGCATGGCAGTATTTATTTTTTATATCTTCATGTGAAAATAATAGCATTACAAACATTTAAGAACCATGCAAAATGTAAGTTAGAGAGTAATTTATAGTAATTTTCTTAAGGCTTTAAGATGTTTTTATTTGGGGTCTAACAAAATAGTGTACAAAGGAACTATTTAGCCTGGAGGCCCCAGGGGTTTGTTTTGTTTGTTTGTTTAAGTGGAAATAGCTGGTCTCGATAAGTTCTTCATAACAATTCTTGCTGTGCCTCCATGTTCCTCATTATTGTATTTCTTGAAGATTCCATGACCAGTTGGTCTTTGTTATTTAATCACTGCTATGCATTTACAGATTTCTGTTGGAATGCTATTGGCATACATTTGATTTGTGGCCACTCAGTGTCACAGTGATTTGTATTGGAATGTGCTGTTCACGATGGGTTATTTAGGAGCAGTGGCTGGTAAAGTCAGGGGGACCTTCTTTTCAGAGATGGGCAACCAGAAAGCCTGTTCACAAGGCTGTCATTGCAATTTCCTAAGACAGCCAGGTGACTGGCTCAGTGTGTCTAGAAAGAATGTAAAAGGAAAGATAACCTGGAATTCTCTTTCCTTGGGGGAAAAAAGTGGTCAAGATAACAGGTGAAGCCCCTTCCAAACAAAATCCCAGCAAATAACCTATGGGTAATAAATTGAATATTTTAATCCATGAATTGTATATATTTAAAATTAATAAATGGTCTTTTGAAACTAGTACTTTAATATCTTGTATTTTTAGTCCAAAAAGAATCTGGGGTAGATTTGATCTTTTATACTGACTTCAAAGAGGGAGATATAAAAACCTCAATGATGAGAGAGATTCATTAATCGGCTGGCTGCCTCCTGCACGCCCCACACTGGGAATCGAGCCCACAACTCGGGCATATGCGCTGGGAATCAAACCCAGGACCCTTCAGTCCACAGGCCAACGCTCTGTCCACTGAGCCAAACTAGCTAGGGTGATTTGATCTTTTAATACTGTTAACATGGTGGGTTCACACTATTCATTTACACTCAGATATTTATTTTAAAATTGAACAAAGCAGATCTATAGCTGCACATTGAAGGCATCTTTGCTGTGCTTTTGTATGGTATCTCTCAGTGCCAAGGATGGAGCTCCCAAAAGGGTTCACCCAAGTATTCTGCATTGGAACCACTTGTGAAACAAATGAAGTTTCTCAGTACATTGTATACATAAAATCTTGGGGCTACCTGGAAGGAATGGCAAGCAGACAGACCATCCATACTATTTGGTTCAAATCTTAGCATGACTAATAGTAATCATGTTGCTGAGAAACAACACTAATTACAATACTTATATGTACAGGCATTAAATATTGTTTTCCTACCCCAAAGTACACCAATCTGAAGAGAGATCATGACAGCCTTGAGTAAACAAATCTGAGAATGAAAGTCAAATAATATGTGAATTTCAGGTATCCAACAATAGTCACCAGCCACTTGAGAGGGACATGTTCTGAGAAATGCATCATTAGCGGGTTTCAGCATCATGTGAACATCATACTTACACAAACTGCGGTGGTACAGCCCACTACACACCTAGGCCGAAGGATCGAGCCTATTGCTCTGTAGGGGAGGGAAATAATGTTCACTCTATCCTTTTAGGTTCTTGTTCGAGACATCCCTGTAATAAAAGATTAACAGGAGAAAAATTTAATAACATGTATGCTTTCTGTATACATGGAGACCCAGGAAAACACTTGAGTAACTTTGCCAAAGTGGTTGGGCCACCACCATAAAGACTACAGCTGAAGACAATCTGTTAGCGGTATGGGGAGTCAGTTATGGGAGGATACTAGGAAAAGCACAAGTAAGAGGGAGGTTGTCATGGAGGGCAAGGAGTAATGGGTTACTGGCAACATCACTTACTGAGCAAAGAGGAAGAGATTTCAGATGGATGAGTTGGACATTCAGGAGGAAATAGCCATTTGGCAATTAGATAAACCCATCTTAGGCCTAAAGAATAGGCTAGAACAATATATTTGGTAGTAGAAACCATAAGAATGAATGAGATTGTCTAACATGTTGAGATGATATAATAAACATTTTAATAAGAGTGCTATGTGCCAGGCACTGGTTCTAAATCCTTAACATATTAACTCAATTCTTACAACTACTCTAAGAGCCCCATAGACATTAAATGGGAAAGCTGAAAGGAAAGCAAAGTCAACTAAGAGTTGGTCATACAGGAGGAAAACTGCAAGAGGGATGTTATGGAAAACCCAGGGAATGTAAAAAGGCTGAGAAAAAATAAAGCAGTTTGAGTTGACCACTATATTACTGGAGACTTCAATGGTAACTGTTTCTAAGTCAGAATTCAGACTGTAATTAAGAAAAAGACAGAATGATGGGCTATAAGTGTTGGAACAAGGGAAAGAAGTAGGTGTGAAAGGGAAGATGCTGAGTACAGGAAGAAGGCACATCTGTCTCTCTGGAGACAGGTGGTGGATGCATGCTGGAATAAGATGGTCTTATATAGCAAGGGTTCCAGAGAGTGGGGGAGTTTACAGCTCATGACCTCCATGTTCCCTAAGAGGTTTGCTGGTTATTTGGTAAGCAGAGTGCTGAAGGTTGGAATTGTTGCTGGAAGATGACCTGAGGACTACGTGGACAGAATGCTGATCAGTCATTGTTCAAAAGCCTGGTGAGGCTGGAAACTAGACGCATCAAGCTATTATCATATGGTTTTCCAATATGCTGGACACAAAAAGCAAATATAATGATCTACGGTTCAAAAGGGTTGAGACTAAACAGCATACACCTGGTAATATCAATCACCAGAAGCACTCCAATCAGTATGTGCTGTGAACATGTGTTTCCCAATTTAGACCATAAGTGTACTTATTCTGAAAGATGTACCCAAAAGTATTCAGGTAGAGCAGTGGAGGAAGCTAGGTAGTCCTGGCTTCACCTAATTAGAACCAATTAATATAGCATAGGGGGATTACTAAAAATTTAAAGTTCCTTTACCCTCCATAGCACATGACATATTCGTAGCAAATGTTACCAAAATAAAAAAATGTCCGTGTTCCATATGCTCAGCACTTGAGGGGTGTAGGTATGGTAGAGTATGTAATCTTTACTCTCGATCAGTATTATGGATGAAATTGCCGTGCAAAAAATACAGTTGGGGTGGGGGGTGGGGGGAGATTAACCAAAGAATTTATATGCATAACCAATGGACACAGACAATAGTGCAGAGAAGGCCTGGGGGACGGGGGAGCAGAGTAGAGGGTGTCAAGTTGGGGGACATCTATAATACTTTCAACAATAAAGATAAAAAAAAATTTTTTTTAAAGAATACAATGAATTGCCAGAGCAGAGTAGGGAATGTTTAAAAAAGTAGAATTTGAGATTAACTTTCAAATGGGATAAGAATCAGGTGAGGGTTTTTTTGAGCTTTTATTAAAAGGTACCATTAGGTATGTTTATGGAAAAGATAAAAAGATTACAAAGGGAGGTGTTAAAAAAAATCTTTGTCAATTTAAGTAGTATCAGATGAAATGAACAATTAAAGGCCACAAAATATTAAGCATCAGTTTATTTAAATTTCTAAAAGATGTAAAAATAGACAACTTTTCTTTGTAATAGAAAGAGCATTAAGATGTAGAGTCACACGACCTAGTCCAGTGTGAAATTCGGAAACTCCTGTAATCCCTCTGGACCTCCAGTTCCTCATGTGTAAAAGAGCCAGAATATTACTTGTTCTTCCTAACCTTCAGAAAGTATGATTGAGAAGCAAATGGTCTTGATTTAAAATATAAATTCTTTAAGTGTGGCCAACATTAAAATAAATTCATTATGGTAACTAGAACATTATAGTTCGCGATTATAATTAGAAAGGAAGTGGCAACATGCAGTAATTTGCCAAATATTAATATAAAGAAAAAACAGAAGTAGGATTTCTTTAGTTGGAAAGGAGAAATAGGACCTCTATTCTTAACTAAAATGATGTCTCTATACTAGCTTTTGAATATTGTTAAAAATATCACCAGAGACCAAAATGCAAGATAAATTTCTATATTTCAGAAAACCTACTTGAATACACTTTGAAACAAGAGTACAACAAAATAGAATATACTTCAAATGTTGAATATACAAACTATTATAGTTCAAATTTGAACACTGGTACTTTCCCTCTTAAACTTCAACTAAAAAAAAAAAAAGGAAAAAAAGAAAGAAAACTCCAGGTATTAAGAATTACCTGACAAAAATTCATGCTGAGCCTTAACTTCCAAGTGACAGGAGAACAGAAACTGATATGTCTGCACAGATGACAGGGCTGAGTGACACAGGCATGTTACAGCAAAAGGCCAGAGCCAACTGTTAATTTGTCCACAATTAAGAAACTGACAGACTTAAACTACCATATAAAATGTTACATGTAAATTCTATAACAATACTGTGCTAGGTACAAGATTTTTAAAATTTTTCTTTTAATAAAAAAAGCTTTACACAAACAAGCCATTAGCTTATTTCAATAAAGAAAACCGAAAATTAGTCTAAGGCCTTTGTTTTAAATCAGCTTAAGCTATATGATATTTTATTAAAAAATCGCACTAGATCTTTTTTGCTATCCTCTTTCTGAAGCTTTTGGATCCATTCTTCAATTCACATTCTAAAATACCTACATTAGCAGAGTCTTCACATAGCACCAGTTAAGTGAGTTCTGTGTGAACACAGTAATAATTGCTGGTATGCATATAAAATGCATCAAAAATTGCTATATGTAACAATGAGATCACCCATCCCAACCCCTCCCCATTGAAAACTGTAACCTCTTACAGAATGTTAGTGTTCCAAGTCTTAGTGTAACTTGATATTGTAGTGAGTTGCTTGGTCCCTTTCAATCCTTTTTTATTGATGGGTTCAGTTGTTTCCTAGGTAAGAGGCAGTTTTCTGTCAGCATCTCAACATGTAGTTCATTTCCCACTGAAACATGGGACAGGTAACTTATTTCCAGTAAGTTTGATTGTTTTCCTATATGCATTAAAAATGTTTTAAAGTCTCCTTTTGACTTTTCTTGATGACATCCCTTGCAAACATTTATGTTAGTACTGTTACTAACAGTCTAAAGTCCATGGCAGAGCTGCTCTTTTATTTCTCACATGTCACTAGTCCTTCCGTTTTCATAGTTACGGGCAGGGCAATAGCTGAAGGGGCACTGACAACCACTACATGGGTCACTGTCTTATTTCCGTCTGCCGGTTTTTCTTCTTGTACCAGCTGCAAAGTTTTCACGTCATGTTCCTGCTTTATTGTCACTGCCTCCGATTTAACCTCTGGCCCTTTTATGACCGCACTGATCACTCGGGGAGGAGTCTGGCCAGATGCCTGTTGAGTAGGCACTGATAGCCTCATTACAGGTGCACCATGGGCTATGGAAACAGGAGTAAGTGCTCTCACAGCCAGTGGGGTTCCAACAATGTTAATGCTTCCAGATCCAGTCAGATTTGACTTCGTCTGCAGTTGACACTGTGCAAGCTGTGTAGCTGGGATGGTGATAATTTTGGCAGGCTGCATGGTGATTTTGTCTCCATTTTCAGTAGAGGCTGGCATCACAGTAGGGATTGTCTGAATAACTACCTTTGGAGAGGTTGCTGTTGTTGGACTAGTGCTGGTTATTAATGGTGCACCTGCATTAACTGACTGAACTGCCACAGTTGAAATTTTCTGGCCCAATGATGTCATTA